TACTTCTGAGCTATATTCATTCAAATATCTTTATTTTATCTTTGTACCACCAGTAAAATGAGATGAGATATTTAATAGGTAATTTTTCATGATGTTAGAAGAGTGCCTTGGGATATAAGTATTATCAATTAATTTGGCTTATGTGAAGAAATTGTATTTCATTTACTGAATTACTGGCATAAACTAATTGAAACTAGATGCTAAGAAGTGAATCAAAGTAAACCAATATACATTTCATTTCAAAAGTGTACTTATGTGGCTTTTCATAGAGTAATATGATAGAATTAAGATTTTGTTAGATTCTTGGAGTTGAAATAATCCATTAGTTTTTTTAAATGTCTGTGTCTATTTGTAACCCAAATTTACTAAATAACTTTTGAATTGTTATCTGTTAAATAACCAAATAATTTACTATTTCTGCGTAGACAATACTCGGATAAGTATAACAGAAACGGGAAAGCTAATGGTGAGAGATTTTCTGGAGCCTTTGTCTGGACTTTATTCATGTACTCTTTCTTATAAGACTGTCAAAGCAGAAACCCAAGAAGAAACTACAGTAAAGAGGAGATATGAATTTATGATCTTTGGTGAGAATGAGCACATTTTAATATATATATTTAGTTTGAATCAGAGTTAAGTATAAGACTTCTTCATTTAGTGAAAATGAATCTGGTATAGGTAATCATTATGATTTATGGATATTTTGAGGTGTGTTTAATTAGGTAAACTCAAATTAACAAGTTTGTCCTAAATAACTCTCTTTTAACTCCCTACTTTCTACTACCTATTATCCAGGTATTTTTCCAGGTAATTTAAAAACTGATATTCAATTCTATAACAGCAATAATACTTTCTGCAAATGAAGACCCTCCCCAAAAGCAATCTTTTTTTTTTCTTGATGCTCTTATCTATATAGGCAACCCACAGAAGCCATTTTTCTTCTTCTAAGTAGATAAATATCAGATGAAAGTAACTTTTTTTTCAGTAAAATTATTAGTTTTATATGTTTTGTGAGGATAAATTGTTAAAGCATTTTACTAGATAAGGTTTCTATGTTTATTTGCAATATTGATGGGATTTAATATTACATGTTATTTGAAAAATGTTTGATAGAACAATTAATGCTAGGCACAATTGTTTTCATTCTCATCTTTTTTCAAAGCCTATCGGGAACCTGATTATTCATATCAGATGGCTGTACGTTTTACTACAAAGTCCTGTGTAGGAAGATATAATGATCTGCTTTTTAGAGTGCTGAGGAAAATCTTGGATAATTTGATCTCTGATTTGTTGTGCCATGTCGTAGAACCATCATATAAATGCCATTTTGTTAAAATTCCAGAACATAGCCTTTTACATGAGCTGTTCATAGCTTTTCGAGGTAAAAACAAATTTTAAAACATTTCTTTAATTTTATGAATTTAGCCCTGAATGATTAATTATTGCATGAATATGAAATATCTTATAAATAATGGATTTAAAATATTTGTTAAACACTAAAATATATTGTTGCCTGGTTATGGCTTTAAAAATTAGCATACAAGTTATTTACCTTCAAATATGATATATTTTTGCTTGTAATTTAGAAGTCAATATCAATTAATTATCATAGCATTTAATTATATAATATTGTAACTTCTTATAGAATTTTTAATTGTATTTTTGAGCATTTAATAACAGGGAGTAACCAAGCACAGGCTTTTTTTTCCTATTTAAAAAAAAAATTTTTTACTTATAGTTGGACACAATATCTTTATTTTTATTTATTTATTTTGATGTGCTGAAGCTCAAACCCAGCGCCTCCCACTGAGCCACAAACCCAGCCCATTTTTTTTTCCCTTGTAGTTACTTCCATTAGCCCCCAGATGGAGTAAAGTCATAATGTATAAATTATTCAAATTGTACATCTAACTTTACTACTAGGACTAGATAGCTAGATGAAGTGAACATGTGCTTGCATACTAAATAAAGTACTTGGGGCTTTATTGAAATGTTTGGAACTGTTTAGAATCCTTTTGTGAACCTATCATGTTTTCCTCCCCAGTTGATCCTTTTGCTCCAGGGTGGAAAAGTGCATGCAATGATAGTGTTGACTGTGAAGATATCACTAATCGTAATATCCTCAAGGTGAGAAATTTATCACAAGGAAAAAGAACTTGAATAGTCAGTAAAGCTATTTAAAAATTTTTTAAGCCTGGCACAGTGGTATATGCTGGTAATCCCAGTTATGTGAGAGGCTAAAGAAGGAGGATCTCAAGTTCAAGGATCTCAAGTTCAAGGATCTCAAGTTTAAGGCCAGCCTCAACATTTAGAGAGGCCCTTAGCTTTGGCAACTTACTGAGGGCCTGTCTCAAAAAAACAAAGTTGAGGATGTAGTTCAGTGGTATAGTGCCTCTGGGTTCAAGCCCCAGTACTGGAAAAAAATATATAATATGTGTGTGTATTTATTCATGTTGTGAATATTTATCCTTAGTAAAAACATTTGTAAGAAATATATTTAAATTATTATTTTAAAATATATATGTAGTTGAGTGGGGTAGCTCATACCTATAATCCCAGCAATTTAGGAGGCTGAGGCAGGAAGATCACAAGTTTGAGGCCAGCCTCAGCAATTTAGCAAGGCCCTAAGAAACTTAGAAAGACCCTGTCTCAAAATAAAAACAAAAAAGGCTGGGCATGGTGATACACACCTGTAATCCCAGCAATTCAGGAAGCTGAGGTGGGAGGATAGCAAGTTTGAGGTCCTAAGCAACTTAATGAGAACCTATCCCCAAAAATAAAAAGAGCTGGGATGTAGCTCAGTGGTAAAGAGCCCTTGAACTAAAACCCCGGTACCAAATAAGTAAATAGATAACTAAATAAGTAACATTTTTTAAAAGAGTAAAAAATTAAAAAGACCAACGATGTAGCTCAGTGGTGAAGCACCCCTGGCTTCAATCTCCGTTACTAAAACAAAAACAAAATACACCAGCCAGACACAATGCCCAAATAACTCAGAAGGCTGAGGCAAGTTTAAGGCCAGCCTCAACAATTTAGAGAAGCCCTTAGTGAGATCCTGTCTCAAATAAAAATAAAAAGGGTTGGTGATGTAGCTCAGTGGTTAAGTGCCCCTGGATTCAATCCCCAGTACAAAACCAAAACAACAACAACAAAGCAAATATAACGTAGTAATGACTTGGTTTCAATGTTTTTAAACTGACATTGAGATTCTTGGCTATTTCAAAAGGTTATTATTTTTTAGAGTGGCACATCTGGAATATTATATGTTTCCAGAATAATATGCATTTTATCTATAATTGAAGGATTGATCCCTGGTTTTTTTCCCCCCAAAAGATGATTAAGATTGAAGATTGAAGAATAACCTCACAATCTAGGTTAAACCAGTAGTTCTTCCAAAATTGTATCTGTTCTAGTCATAACAGCTCTCATTTTCTCTGCCATCCTCAGAGACTAAGGACATAGTCTTAAAAATCCCATTCTCTTGGTCTAGTTCCTAAGCCTATACCATTCTTGGTCTAATTCCTATATCATTAATGTTGTGTATGACTTATGGGACATAACTCCATTAATATTAGTTATTAAACTCTGTACTCAAGAAATAATACAAAATTTACATTATTAGTTTGTGATGCTGGTTAGAGAGAAGTCTTTGTTTCCATTTTACATTGTTCTAGGTTTTTCATATGAGCAAATAGAATTAGAAATAATGAACTCCCAGTTATCTACATAAGGAATGGATATGTTACAAGTAATTCAAAACAAGAAAGTTTGTTTGTTTTTGCAGTACTGGGAATTTGAACCCAGGGGCACTCTACCACTGAGCTACATCTCTACCCCTTATTTTTTTTATTTTGAAACAGAGTCTCACTGAATTGCCCAAATTGGCCTTGAACTTTTGATCCTCCTCCCTCAGCCTCCTGAATCGCTGGTATTATAGGTGTGTGCCAACAGGTTCCTGGTTAATTTAAGTTTTTTTTTTTTAATTTATTTTTTCTTAACCATTTTACACATGAATTTACAATAGTTGATAAGGTTAAGACTAGACTAATTTTAGACTTTTTAGTCTTATACAACTTTTTTGGAATTCACCTGTTGTACAAAGCATGGAATGTTTATGCTACTTTTAATTGCCTCTGATACAGCAGAACAAATTGGCTCATGGTGTAGTAATTGTATTTTTCTCTTATACTTTTAAATCTTAGGCAAGAGACAGAATAGAAGAATTTTTTCGGAGCCAAGCGTATACTTTCTATCATCGCCTTAATAACACTGTACCAGCTATGCATTTTGTGGACCACAGTTTTCAAGTAGTACGTATGGATAGCTGTCGACCAGGCTTTGGAAAAGATGAAGGTCTACACAGCAATTGTGCTAGCTGTTGTGGTAATTATAAAATATAAATATCTACATATCTAGGTTATATAGTCAGAAGAATAGATAAATAATTATATTAGGATAATTTATTTGAATCTTTTTTTGTACCAGGATTGAACCCAGGAGTGCTTTACCACTGAGCCACATCTCCAGCCCTCTTTGTTATTTTGAGACAGGGTTTCACTAAGTTGCTTAAAGCCTTGACAAATTGCTGAGGCTGACCTCAAACTTGTGAGCTTCCTGCCTCAGCCTCCAGAGTCGCTGGAATTACAGATGTGGGCCTGATATATACAGCTGATTTGAATCTACACCAGTTCTCTTTCAGAAACATATTTACCTAAAGGGAAGTAAAAAGTCAAGGCCCAAATTTTCTAAATACAATTATATTAATGTATATTAATTCTTCCTAATATACTCTTGTATTACAAAACATTCCTATAGTGTTGATTTAAGATACTCTACTATGAAAGAAAACCACATGGTTTTGCCTAGAAAACATAGAAATAGGAAATAGGAAATAGAAAACTGGAAAAAGGAACTCATAGATGGGGCACTGCAGATACTGTAAAATGCCAGTACTAAAGGAAAAATAGGGTTCTTAAATCTTTAAGATTGTCTTATTGGGCTGGGGTTGTGGCTCAGTGGTAGAGCGCTCGCCTAAAATGTGGGAGGCTCTGGGTTCGATCCTCAGCACCACAGAAAAATAAATAAGTAAAATAAAGTCATTGTGTCCAACTACAACTAAAAAATAAATAAACAAAAGATCATATTACAATTTAATTGGCTGAACAAGTGTATTATAGATATAGAAATGGTATGATATTGAAGGCAGATTTATATTATTGATATAAAATATCTGTAAGTTATAATGCTCTCTTCCATGTGTTTTCTTTTGCAGTGGTTTGTAGCCCTGGGAATTTCAGTCCTGATGTTGATGTTACTTGTCAGATATGTGCTTCTACCCAGGTATATGGAGCTAAGTCTTGCCCAGAAGCTTCAAACAAAAACCAGCCGGGCGATGACTAGAGGTGGAAGCTTTGTTACTTGCTTGCAGAAGTGGGGGACATAAGATGATTTGTTCACATCACAGAGCATCATAGATAGCTCTATGAAATAAGATCAGTAAGACCAAAACATTGTATAACATACATTGTAGAAACAAAAAAATAATAATTGGCATGGCATTTCTAAGAAATCATTTAATCCAGTATCTCCAGTGTACAAAGGACAGTTCAAGTATTAGTGGATGATTTTTAATGAAATATGTTTTGTTGTTTACAATCTGTTGCTCTGTACCTAAGACTATATTGAGGTCAAGAAGAGTAGCAAAGTATAACATAATAAAATTTTTATATTGTCTGTATATTAATTTGTTTGAAATCACTCTTATGTAAAGGCATGTATATAACCTTTGTAATTAGAACCAAAATATTACTTACTTTAGTCATTTTGCTTTTATTTTATAATTAATAGACTTAATTTTTTAGTATAGGCTTTGATTTTTAGAATAATTGAGCTTAGAGTTTCTTATTACCATTTACCAGAATAATCCAGCAGGAATTCCTTATTACCATCCCATATCCTCCTCCTTCCTCACACAGTTTCATCTGTTATCAACATACTGCATTTATGTATCAAATTTGTTGCAATGGATGAACCAATATTAATACATTATTATTAACTGTAGTCAGTGGTTTACATTAAAGTATCAATATTTGTGTTGTAGGTTTTCCCAATTGCATAATTAGGTATTCACCATTACAGTTTCATACAGAATACTTTCACCATCCTTAAAATTCACTATGCTTTACCCTTTCTCCCTGAGTCCTTGGCAACCTTTGATCCTCTTACTGTCTCTATAGTTTTGCCTTTTCCAAAATGTCACATAGTGTGTCGACTTTTCATATTGACTTCTAATCAGTAAGCAGTATGCAGTTAAGGATTCCCCTATGTCTTTTCATGACTTGAAAGCTCCTTTTATTGCTGAATAATATTCTACTGTATGGGATATATCATAGTGTGTTTATCCAGTCACCCATGAAGGAAATCTTGGCTGCTTCCAGTTTTTGGTAACTATAAATAAAGCTATTATAAACATTTGTGTGCAGGTTTTCGTTTGGACATACATTTCAACAACTGGGTTAATACCTAGGAGTATGATTACTGGCTTATATATGACTGTGTTTAGTTTTGTAAGAAACTGTCTTCCAAAGTAATTTATCATTTTGCATTCCCACCAGCAATGAATAAGTATCCCTGTTCATTCCTCCTCCCTAGAAGCATTTGGTATTGTTAGTTTTTTGGATTTTGGACGTTCTAATAATGGGTAGAGTGGTATTTCATTGTTGGTTTAATTTCCAGATTCCCTAATGATATCTGATGTTTAGCATCTTTTCATATGGTTGTCTGCCCTCTGAATATCTTCTTTAGTTAAGTGTCTATTTAGATTTTTTGTCCATTTTTAGTTGGGTAGTTGTTAATCCTCTTATTTTTGAGTTCTAAGAGTTCTTTGTACATTTTGGATACAAGCTTTACTGTATTAGATATATGTTTACAAAGATTTTCTCCCATTCTGTGGCTTCTTTGTCCTTTTAACGGTGTCTTTCACAGAACAAAAGTTTTTATTTTTATTTTTGTTTTTTAATTGTAGATGGACACTATATTTTATTTATTTATTTTTATGTGGTGCTGAGGATTAAACCCAGTGCTCACATGTGCTAGATGACGCTCTGCACTGAATTACAACCCCAGGTCTAGAACAAAAGTTGTTTTCGTTGTTGTTGTTTTTAGTTGTAGTTGGACACAATATCTTTATTTTATTTATTTTTATGTGGTGCTGAGGATCGAACCCAGCGCCTCGCACGTGCAAGGTAAGCACTCCATTGCTGAGCTACAGCCTCAGCCCTTGGAACAAAAGGGGTTTTTTTTTTTTTGCTGTTTTTTGTTTTTAATATTTATTTATTAGTAATAGGTGGACACAATCTCTTTATTTTCATAGGGTGCTAAGGATCAAACCCAGTGCCTCTCGCATGCTAGGTGAGCACTACCTCTGAGCCACAACCCCAGCCCACAAAGTTTTCAATAAAACTCTTAATTGCTACTTTTTTCCAACATGAGTTGTACTTTTGGTGGTCATATCATAAAACTCAAAGTCACATAAATTTTCTCCTATTATCCTCTAGAAGTTATGAAGCTTTATATTTTTTATTTATGTCTAAGATCCATTTTGAGATGATTTTTGTGAATTATGTAATTTTTGTGTCTAGATTCATTTTTTTGCGTATGGAAATCTACTTGTTTCAGCACTACTTGTTGAATACACTCTTTACTTCCTCCACTGAATTGTCTTTGCTCCTTTGTCAAAAATCAGTTGCCTGGCTAGGTGGGGTGGTGCACACCTGTAATCCCAGCAGCTTGTGAGGCTGAGACAGGAGGATCTCAAGTTCAGAGCCAGCCTCAGCAAAAAGTGAGGTGCTAAGCCACCCAGGGAGATCTAGCCTTTAAAAAAATACAAAATAGGGCTGGGGATATGGCTCAGTGGTTGAGTGCTTCTGAGTTCAATCCCTGGTCCCCCACCCCCCAAAAAAAAAAGATCGGTTGCCTAAGCCAGGAGTGGTGGCACACTCCTATAATCCCAGCAATTTGAGAGGCTGAGGCAGGAAGATCACAAATTCAAGGTCAGCCTCAGAAATTTAGCAAGACCTTGTATCAAAATCAAAACTAAAATGGGCTGGAGATATAGCTCATTGGTAAAATGCCCCTTGGTTCAATTCCCAATACTGTAATAAAAATTATTTTTGTACTTATGATCATGAGATATATTGCTCTGTTTCACTTCCTGTAATATCTTCCTCTGGGTTTAGTATTATGCTAGCCTCACTTCACTTTTTGGAAAGAGATTATAGAGAATAATATCATTTCTCCCTTAAATGTTTGATGAAAATTCACCATTAAAACTATCCAGGCCCAGAAGGGATATATCTCAGTGGCAGAATGCTTGCCTAGCATGCCGTGAGTTCAGTCCGCACTGTATCAAAAAGATACTATCTGAGCCTGAATGTTTTCTGCCTTGGAAAGCTATGCATTCATTGCTGTAATTTCCCAATAAGCACTGTATTTCCTGAATTCTACAAGTTTTTATAAGTTATATTTTCATCTTAATTTGATTAAAATATTTCAAAATTTTTATTGAGATTTCTATGACCCAAGTGTTATTTAGAAGTGTGTTGTATAATCTCCAAATATTTGAAAAATTTCAAGCTATATTTTTCTCACTTTTAGTTGAATGCCATTTGGTCTGGTAGCAATTTTATATGATTTCTATTCTAAATTTTTTCAGAATTTGTGTTCCAGAATATGGTCTGTCTTGGCAAATGATCTGTGTGAGCTTGAGGAGAATGTGTACTTTTCTGTTGTTGGATGGATATTTGTAAGTGTAAATTAGTTTCAGTTGATGGATGATGCCGTTCAGTTCAGCTGTATCCTTACTGATTTTCACCTGCTGGATCTGTCCACTACTAATAGACAAGTGTTGACATCTCCAAGTATAGTGGTGAATTCATCTATTTCTCTTTACAGTTCTATTCCTCTTTGCCTCAACAAATTTTTTTTTCTGGGGTACTAGGGATTGAACTCAGGGGCACTCAATCACTGAGCCACATCCTCAGCCCTCTTTTGTGTTTTATTTATTAGAGACAGGGTCTCACTGAGTTACTTAATGCCCTGCTTTTGCTGAGGCTGGCTTTGAACTCATGATCCTCTTGCCTCAGCCTCCCAAGCTGCTGGGATTATAGATGTTTGTCATCGTGCCTGGCTGCCTCACAAATTTTGACATTGTTGATAGGTGTCTACATATTAAAAATTCTTTCACCTTCTTGGAGTATTGATCTCTTCCTTTATCATTGTATAATACCCCTCATTATCCTTGATAATTTTTCCAGTTCAAGAGTATTCTTTGTTTAAAATTAATGTAGCTACTGCATCTTTCCTTTGTCTATTGTTAGCATGGTACATCTTTTTCTGTCCTTTAGTTTTACAGAAAATGATACCCAGATGCTGCAAAATCTGCTATTCTGAATGACAACTTCTGTTAAGGTAGTGATACTTTGATTTATTTTCTTTCTGAACAGGCTTTGTTCCCTGCATAACTGTAATGGATTGCTAATTAATAATGATAAATATGTTTGAATACTTTCTCCACTAAGTATTGGGGACTAAATTTTACCAGTACTGTTTTTGTGTCCTGCAGTGGTTTTCCGATTATGTTATATATTTACATTTTTGCTGCTTAGACAGTTTATTCTAGCTTAGAGATGTTTTCTACTTCTATGGGGTGTTAATGCTACTTTTATGCATAATTTCTTTCTTTTTAATATTTATTTTTTAGTTTTTTTAGGTGGACACAATATCTTTATTTTATTTTTATGTGGTGCTGAGAATCGAACCCAGCGCCTCACATATGCCATGCAAGCACACTACCACTTGAGCCACATCCCCAGCCCAGATGCATAATTTCAAATTCACTAAGGAAAGCCTTTTCTTTTGAAGAGATGTATATATGATTTCAAGATGATCATGGCTTTCTTAATTCTAGGCAAATGAATTCCAGTCATTTAGGGTCATGATATATACTCAATGAGGTTTTTAAAAATGCAATTGAAGGGGCTGGTGTTGTGGCTTAGAGGTAGAGCACTCGCCTA